ATTGTTGAATTGTTGGGAGCTCTAAGTCCCGATGAAGGTCGGCATTACGGACGTACCACGGTGCGTTCGCAGCTCGACGACAGAAGAGGTTCTGAACTATTTGGAGTTCATTTAAAATGTTAGGGTTTGCGTGGGCAAAGACGGGGCCCGCGTAGGACATGACTGGTCGTATACATACCTTGTAGAGGGTACGCTTGTTTCGAAGGGACATTTTACTGTGTCGGCCCAACATACTGTTGAGCCTACTCAGATAAAACCGTGCGTGACGGGTTACTCTTTTGACGTGGGGCCTGAAAGTGAGCCCTGTGTCTAGAGTGAATATTATTAGCGATAGGGAGTCGCTATTTATATCTACTCAAGACCTACTCTGGTCAATATAAAATAGTTAGAGTAGGTAATATATGTAACTTTTTAATTTCTATTTATTATCTAACGCTAGCTTATAAGTACTATTTGTAATTATTAATTAGCTCTATGGAAAGAAATTTCTGAAATAAAGAATAATAATAATATATTAATGAGTTATTAAATAGGTACATGTGTGAGTTATTTAATATATTTGTTGTTTTGGGTGTGCATTGTTTGTTGTTATCCAGTGTGCCCAATTTTTTTTTAAAATTATTATCAGAATTACAAACAACCTGATTGCGTCCTAATGGTAAGAGGCCACTGAAGTTTACGGATATATGCAACCAATTTCAAATTGGAAGTCTAAGCAAGCTAGAGCTAAGAAATGCTTCATAGCTTGATATATTGGCTCCATTTTTACTTAACCTCTCAAAAGTCAAGTGCCCAAAATTTTACCGCTTCGATATTCCGTCAAAGTTCAAGAGGTCAAATGTGACCGCACCCACCCACAGCACTTTAACCCATAAACACTTATGTTTAGAGACTACTTTTCTATGAAGAAATTTGGCATTACAGAATCAATATGAAATTTTCTCGACCGCTCGGGATTTGTCAGGCGCATGCGACTGCATAGAAATTTTATGGGGATTGAAGGGTTAAAGTCCTTCAAGTAGTGACCCTGCTGTTGGAGCACTGCTGTTTGATCGAGGTCCTGTTTTTAATCTATACCTATAAATTTAGTGAAGCTGGGGCAGGTTGACTATAGGACTATAGGTGAGTTACAAAAGCGCTAGCACAAGTGCACTTTCTATTCCCTACTCTCACAGTCCGGTACCTTAACTCTCACAATGCAGTCGTGTTTACAGCCCCTAGACCAACTAACGTGTAGTTAAATCATCGAACAACGAAAGATGACTAAATAATGATTTTACATTAATATTTGGCATATAAATCAGAAGAAAAATCAATTCCATGCTTTTTTATATATATATGTTACATATCATACGCAATTTTTAAATAATGCGTACCTGTTAACCATACTTACTAGGGTGGAACAAAAAAAAAATCTAGGATTTTATTTTGGAATAGTTGTATTATGTTGCCTAATGACATTAGTTAGCTCCATTTAAAATATAAATATTATCAGACAGCGGTAAAAGCCCCCGCCAAGACACCAAACATTTACAAAAATGATAATTTAGGGGCTATTTACACAGCCTACAAAATAGTACAGAATTCATTACAATTCGTTTATTTTATTCAAAAACATATTCAAATATAGTAGTTAACAAACTGTTGCAATTAAACATTTCATTATTTTAATATAATTTGGCGCTGGGACAGAGGAGAAAAGTGCGGGACGAAGCGGGGTGCGGCACGTGACAATCTACGAATTGCAGTGTTTTGTTTTAACTAGTGTCGATAATTGTCTCAAGGTGAAAGGTTGCGCGTCAATTATTTTCATGAGTACTTATTAATTTACGTTTTTAAGTGTATTAATATGACTTCTACGAGACAAAAGTTAAAATGTCCAATATTTGGCGAAAGTGCAGAGTTGAAAGAGAATATTCTTCCTACGTAGATGAAATTCTATGAATGGGTATAACCTACATTTTTGGAAATTGCCGAAATAGTTGCAACGAAAATCGAAGAATTGTGGATAAAATCTTCTATTCCAATTGTCACACACAAACGAGTTTTCACTCAAAATGTTATAATTTGAAAAAACAAAAGTTAGAAGAGTTTAGAGTACAAAGTAGAAAGCTTTTTGACATAGCTGCATGTAAATGTAAAAAATATATAAGCTGTACTTGTGTGAGAGAAAATAGTACCAAAAGAGGAACAAATATTTTTAGAAGACCAAAGCTCTAACAGACTAATGGTTCTAGGAAGAACGGATCTTGTCCAGAGTAAAAAATTGCCATTTCAAATTGACATTGCGAAGGCCTTCGCTCGGGTTTGGCACAAAGCGCTTCTTTCGAAGCTCCCTTCCTATGGGCTTCCCGAGAAATTGTGCGATTGGATGACCAGCTTTCTTGCTAATCGGAGCATCAAGGTCGTTGTAGACGGTGCAAGCTCCGATTGCGAGCCTATTAATGCTGGTGTTCCACAAGGCTGTGTGCTATCACCAACGCTGTTTCTTCTGCATATCAATGATATGTTGCAAACCCGTAACATTCATTGCTATGCAGATGACAGCACTGGTGATGCTCTATACACCGGCCGAGCCAATATTTCTCGGGAAAACGTCTCCGAGTGCCGGGACAAACTTGTGTCTGAAGTCGAGTCCTTGCTGAACAGAGTCTCGGATTGGGGGCGACTAAATCTAGTCCAGTTTAACCCCCAGAAGACACAAGTTTGCGCGTTAACCGCTAAAAAGAACCACTTTGTCGTATCTCCTCAGTTTCAAGGCACTCCCCTTGTTGCCTCAGCCAGTATCGGAATCCTCGGCGTTGACATATCGAGTGACGTGCAGTTTCGTGGTCACTTGGAAGAGAAGGCCAAATTGGGCTCTAAAAAGCTTGGCGTGCTCAGCAGAGCGGGACAGTATTTCATGCCGGCACACCGTCTGCAACTTTACAAGGCACAGGTTCGGCCGCACATGGAATACTGTTCCCATCTCTGAGCTGGGGCTCCCCAGTACCAGCTCCATCCACTTGACCGCATCCAGCGCAGAGCGGCTCGAATCGTCGACGACCGAGTGCTTTCCGATCGGCTCGATTCACTGGCACTGCGAAGAGATATTGTATCTCTTTGCATTTTATTTCGCATATACCATGGAGAGTGCTCTGAGGAATTGTTCGGATTAATCCCAGCCGCCAAATTTCGTGAACGCACTATGCGGCAAACGTCCCGATACCATCCACACCATCTGGATGCTTGGCGGTCTACCACAGTAAGTTTCAAAAGGAGTTTTCTTCCGCGTACAACCTCTCTGTGGAATAGTTTACCACCGGCGATTTTCCCGGGCCGATACGACCTGGGGACCTTCAAGAAAAGTGAACCTGCACTCCTTTCTAAAGGGCCGGCAACGCACCTGCAATTCCCCTGGTGTTGCGGTTGATCATGGGTGGCGGTAGTCACTTAATATCAGGTGAGCCGCATGCTCGTTTGCCCCCTCTTCTATAAAAAAAAATTAAATCAGGCATAATTCCAATTTAAGAATTGAAGAAATTCCTTCTACTTCGTATCGACTAAATAGATCTGAAGTTTGTTCTAATGTCGACCTTCCTTCTTGCTCGTCAGCCGCAGATGGTATTGACACCACTCAAACAGTGGATCAAAAGCCTATAAAGCTCTTCATAGTTTGACGACTGTATGCGATAGGTACGGAGTATCAGACAGAGCTGCAGCAGCTATCGTATCATCTATTCTATGTTCTGCTTCTGATGCCGACTGACGACGACAGTCTACTAACGTTGTGGTCAGGATGAAACTAAGAAGAATAAGACAGAAAGTTCGCGAGCAAATTTTTATAGAAGAAAGAGTTAAAGAAATTCCTGCATTTTATTTCGATGGAAGAAAAGACAAGACGGCTAAAACTGTATTAAAAGGATCAAAGAGGTTTAGAGTGATTGTACAAGAGGAACATATTTCGATTATAATAGAACCAGGTTCTGTTTACGTTGGGTATGTGGTTCCAGCATCGGGCAGTGCAAGAAATATTGAAACAGCTATCCACAGCTTTTTGACGATTGAAAAGATATCACTAGAGAGTGTAGAGAGTATAATGGCAGTTGGTTGGCAATATAATGGCTGTGATGGAACAAACACAAATACAGGAAAAGTGGGAGGCGTGATTCATCTTTTGGAAAATAGACTATCTCGACCATTGCAATGGATAATTTGTCTCTTACACGCCAATGAGTTGCTATTGAGGCATTTGTTTACCTATTTGGATGGCCCTACTTCAGGACCTAAATATACTGCAATTATATTAGTAGTATAGTTGTAGCACTAATGGGTCGGCTCGACCGGGGAAGAAAGCTAGGAAAGCTAAAAAAAAATCTAAGTATCTATTGGAATTACACAAACAAAGACAAAAGTAGCAATTACCATTATTTAAAGTTTTGGTAACGAATTATTAAAAATTATTACAATACAAATTTACTTCATGCGTCCATGTTCTGTTTCACAAATGTTTGCGCGTGTATTGTCAACATTGGCAAAACATTTGTAGGGGCGGTTTTGATCGGTAATTTTGTTTAAAATATGATATTATTTGTTAGTTTAGAGCTTAACATATAATATAATATACATGTAATTACCGAAAGTAAGACACTTTGGCGGTTAAAATACTTTTTCGGGCATTATTCTTGCAACTTTTAAATACACATTGCGGCATTGTGAAACGTTTTACATTGGCTGTGTTTCAAGTGAACTAAATGAAACAAGAGCTCACGTCTCATGTGCACTGTTATTTACTTAGATTGATTTCTTGCGCCGACCCGACATCTAGTTGGTATTGTTGATCGAAGGAAAATCCACAAGAAAATCTTGTAATTATGGCTACGTTTGTCGTAAAATCATACGCCCCTGTCTGGTTTGCTATCCAAACACATTCATCCTGCAAAGATGGTTCAAACATTTATGGAAGCTCATTAACACACAGTTTTTCCTAGCCCCTCTAATTAACACTAAAATTCATGCGCATGTTTGAGGTGCCAAAAGTGAACCTTAATTCACGTTGTTACATAGACTTGCAACAAAATATATACGAACCGCCAATACTAAAGAATATTTCTGATGAGCAGTTGCAAGATCTCATTGAAAATGGAGGAAATGCAATTTTGAAGTTTATGAGACTGTCTTGCCACACCCAGGCTTTGGAAAGATCAGTCAAAGTTGTGACAGAAGCAGCTCTAAGTGTATGCGAAAAGAAAAGAAGAGAGGGATTCATAAAATCTAAATTAGCATCTCGAAAAGTCACGCCAAAGTTTGAGACGAAAAAGGATTTCTGCTTTAAAAAATAACATTATTCATAGAGACGTAACTTTTTTTAACCTGTATTCACATTCAAAATAAACTATTTTATTAATGAAAATAATCTTTATTTTATTATTTCCATGCATAAAATATAACATTTACTTCTAATTTTGTATGTAGGGTGTACTATACAACGCGTCTATAAAAACTTGAAAAATGAAATTTCAAGTCTATGGCGGGAGTTCAAGCAGTCGAGTTAGAGTTTTTATATTAACGTATATTATTTACAATTACATAAAGCAACTTTTACATGGTATTCCAAAAATATTCTAGAAAAATTTTTTTTTCATACAAAAGTGTTCCACCCTAATAACTACATACTTTAAAAATATTATACAAAATCAACTTAAATAAATTATAATATCAAGCCATATGGGTATAAGCAGAAACATTTAGATAAGAAAGTTAGCTGCTGGATGTTACCATGGGTGAATTTAATTTAAAAGGAAGAATCACTGAAATCTTCACCATCGAAGAAGTTCCCGCTTTGTTCAAAAGGATAAACTATATCTTTAACATGGCGCTAGCCTAATACTAATCTCCGTCTTGTTACAAAAAGTAATTTATAGTTGGTACTACCACAGCACTACAGTCCGTTTCAATACATACATAAATATGTAGACTAAAATGTTAATTTTATTAACTAAATGCATGAAATTTAAAAGCAAAAATCTCAAATTCGTAAAGGACTTGGTTTGGTCGTTTATATCAGGGACAAAATGAAGAATAATAAAAAATAACGGAAAAGAATAATTTGTTTTAGCATAGGTTACAAGGTATACTAATTGAAAATCATTTCATCTTATACTATTGGTTCAGGAAATAACTTTCCGGGAAAAACCAGCAATAAACTCAGCAAGACTTTTATTTAAATCATATATTAAAGTAGTTTACAATCCTTCACTAGAAACAGCATGGTAGCCATTACCTTATTCCCAGGGTTTATTATCGGCAACGTATTCTTTAATATTATTATTATAACTCTTATACAGCTTTTGCTTAAACATTTTTTTAAATTTTTGATAGATTTTGTGGGACTTTGTTGTAAAATCGTATTTGCGTTGCGTATATACATTGCCCCATAACTTATTCAAATTCTGTTCTGACTTATTAAAAAAATTACATATCTCAGTTCCCTCTCGTTCACAGCGTTATTACAATCACTTACACGTATCTTTATGTAGATCAAATTACAGGCGAAACTCATTTAATACATTTTATAAGGACTGTGATAAGGTTAATCTTTTTTCTACTAGTGGTACAACTATTTGTAAATTGATAACATCTAAATTCAGTAACAATTTACACTTGAACTCTTATATCTAATTAAAATTAGCGTGCAAATTATATCTACTTATACACAATCACACACATACACAAACACACACACACACACACACACACACACACACACACACAAAATTATACACATATACAGAATTATATTATATACCATATAGTATTAATTAAAAGCTGTAAGATTTCCTGTTATAAATAAATAAAGGAATTACTTGCTAAGTAAGTATACTTGTATCTTGCATTTATTATGTGGTGGCTTGTGTTTTTTTGCTGGTATTACCACAGAATAAATAACAGTATAACTAATATTACAGACTTTACAGATCTTGATTATTATGTATGCTTTCCCAAATGAATATGTCCCACTGCTGGGCACAGGCCTCCTCTCATTTCTGAGAAGGTTTTAGGGCAAGGAATAGTCCGCCACGCTGCCCCAATGCGTGTTGGCGAACTTAATGTCATCGAAATATTTGTTTTTCTTATTTCTCAGACATGTAGGTTTCCTCACGATGTTTTCCTTCACCGCCGAGCACGTGGTAAATCAGCACTTAAAATTGCAATTAACAATTTCATTGGTGCCGGCGGGGATCGAACCCGGTTTGCTCGCGTAGTGTGAAATTTACAGCGAGCGCTAACCCTCTGAGCTACACGGCTCTTAATGAAAATAATGTGCAGAGAAGAAACAAGAAGTAGTACAGAAATAAGTTCCTCTATGTCTTGAAATATTCTGCTATTTAGAAATTACGATAGATGATACGTCATTGTATTCCTTTTTAAATATTTTAAGCCAGTGCCTACTCCTACCTGATGGTAAGTGGCGATCTAGCCGCGAGTGGTAAAGTGCATTGACTTAGCTTAACAAAAGATTATTCACTGTCGCCTTGATAAAATCTATTATATATTCGGCTAGGGGAATTTGTAATAAACTTTATATATTAATGCATCCGTTAGTGATCGTGTAACTTGAACAACTAGACCGATTGATATGGCCTCAATACAAACGTTTGGTGTGTCGAGATGTACCCTGTAGTGGCAGTGTAAGAAAACCACTACCCAATATCATGACGTAGTTGTTTATGAGGCGACAGAGGGAAACTGAAACAGGAGATGGACAGCAGTACTTTCCTGATAATAACACGAAACAATAAAAAAACTGTGGTAGCTTACCAAGCGTGATAAGTGATAACTATGGCAAATTCCCCGATGAGGCAATCTATGTTAGAGGCCTGTGTTCGGGACTTCGGGAGTGGCCTTTTGTAGGTTGTAATGGACAGGTGGTTCATAGCTTTGCTATATTCCGATAGATGGCGTTGTTTTCAAGCTCATAACAAAATCTATATTTATAGACGAAAATTACTCTCATTTACAATATACATTGGTTTAGTGTCAAAAAAGTATATTACAAAATTTGGACCAGATAGGTGGCACCGTAATCGAGTTATTTGATAAATTTTATATTTTAGAAAAGCGGTCTAGGTGCGACCCGGAAGGTCCACACGACTAACTTCCCAATGGAAAAAATAAAAAAATATCATATATTTCAATATTTTATACAATTTTTCATTCGGCACAAAAACGACTTGACCGATTTTGTTTAAAATTTAATAAGGTCTCAGGTTATATAATTATGCGTTAAATGAAACTGGTCCCATGTCAATATCACTCTTTGTTCTCGAGATACACGAGGCGAAAATTGAATCCGAACATTAATACATACATACGTACATGTGCACATACGGACTTAAAACCATACTATTCGACTCCAAAGACCTTGAAACGTGGAGATATGTTAAAATTTCCAATTTGCAAAATCGGATCCACTACAATAACTTCCCACTGGGAAGTTAACTAGAGTAAAACTCATCACGCTATCTAAGAGAAAGGGCACAGCAACGTCTGTCGGACCAGGTAATATCATATATGTCTATAATTGTATTATTCAAGACTAAAGCAACACACAAACGTGAAATGATATCACGTTTTATGTCTTGATTAAACATTAAATTGAACAGATCTCAGTGTACAGACGTATAATGTGTAAGAAATTATGGATGTTAGGCTAATAGCACAAGGTTGGGAATCAGTCCTACGTGATTAGATTAAGTACTTTATAGCAGTTGGCATTTAGAGATGAGACGCTTAGCGCTATGCCTCGGTACTAACATATATTATATGCATAACAGAGGTCAGCTTTCATAAGTAGGGGAAAATCTGATAAGCCCTTCTGCCTGCAAAGCTTTGAAAAATAGCCGGTTTTGGGTGGCTAACTTTCCCATTTTGAACACAATGTAGATGATATGTAGAGATATTTAACGGCCTAACAAGTCAAATATATTTTATACGGTATTAAATGAATACTGTTACTTTTTAGTATTTTGTACCAAATTCAGCAAAATGAAACACTTAAAAAAATTTTTCGGCGTTTGAAGTCCACTGCTGAACATAGACCTATCCTATTAATTGCCTCATAATATTTGCCTTAGTTGGCACGCTTGGCAGGTGGTTTGGCAACTGCGGTTTTTTATTTTTTGTTGTTATAAGGAAGACGCTTTTACCCATAGAATACTATAATACATACATAATAGAACGAGGGAGTGGGCGGACCCCGTGTAGCCACTAAAATGTCACTAACATGATGTCAATTCACACGTATAAACGTCGAAACAAGATGTGTTAGACGTTATAATCGTCCGAATTTCGCATGCAAATTATTTAGAAAATGTCAAATTGCACACTATTTACAAATAAATATGTATTAAAATTTAAACGATTTTTTTAAATGATGATCCGGAACATTAATCAAAGGTCTAAAATGTGTAAATTTACTCAGTCTTTCAACACAGTTGCAGGGTTTGCAGTAGGTAGTGATAATATGACGTAATTGTTTGTATGTGTGCTCCCGGCGACGCCGTTCCTCGTGCAAAATAAGGTTGACAGCCATTCTATTGTGTATTATAGTATTATATTCTTCTGCCCATCTCCTGGCTTGTTTCTGTCTGTCACCTCTTACGACAGTGGAAAAACTTGTTGATAGACAAAGCTAGAAAATAAATAATTTAATCTGTAATTCGTTGACGAATTCTAAGACTTGCCGGTCGAAAATCGTCAGTTGAATTGCGCAAACTCAACATTTGTTCATTTTGGCCCGCATTTAGTGTTTTCTTGTGTATTATTGCTGAAAACATCAGAGTATCGAGAAATATAAATTATCTTTCATATTTGCATGTAGTTTTTTGTGTTTTCATTCACTATTATTGCGAAATTAATGATTTTTTTTAAAAATTATGAAAATTACGAACCATCTTATTTTAACGATTTTATTACTTCACTTTTAGCACTAATGTTATATTAAAAATTGTCCGGTAAACTTAGATGAGAAAAACGTTTTTATTATAGTTTTTTTTTTGTATAAACCACGTCATTATTACCATAAAATACAAGAAAATACGAATAAAATAAAACATGAAACATTTTTGGCCCGGCAGTATTAGATAGCCGCAATGGCCTCTACTGTTGAAGCGATAGTTACTCATTTTGCAATGTAGACGCTCATTAAGAACAGATTTTACGATAGTACTATCAAAACATTTTTTCTTAAACTATTACGGAACCTAGATGTAAACTATTACATCTAGGTTCCGTAATAAAATATTATCGTGCGCCCAGCGAAGCCAGCAGGTATCAGCTA